TTGTCCACGGACACGAGTAAACGGAGGGGGGAAAAAGACAGGTTTTTATTTTATGTTGCGGGTTGAAGCCCCGGCCTCTTGCTTGGAAAAAGAATGTAATTTGAAACAGAGCAGATATGGCTATGGAGTAAATATTCATTTGTGTTTATACATGCCCTCTCTCACACTCTGCTCATATTTCAAATGCTTTCAACTTTGGTGTTCTATGATGTGGTGTGCCTATAACTCTCTTCTGCTTGCTTTGACACCACTTTTGTTGCCGGGTTATAGTGAAATGAAGTAAGGCCATGTTTGGAAATAATGTTTTTTATTAGTATCAGATTTTTTGTATAAAATTTTAATGGCGTAGATCAACCTTGAAAATGCTACTCCTAAATGTTATCGTTAGATTGTTTTTTCAAAACACTAATGTTAATCCTTAATGCTGTTACCAAACGAGGCTTAGACATTGCACATTGTGAAAAATCTAATGAAATAATCAAAATATGAGATTGCCACACTGGTAAGTAACCCCACTGCCACTGGAGCGTCGCCACCAGTTGGCAGATCGCTGTTGCCGATCATCGCAGTGCCTCCACCAGTCACTGGAGACTTGCCATGGTTTGCTGGAGGGCCATCGTCTATCGCAGTGCCTCCACCAGTCACTGGAGACTTGCCATGGTTTGCTGGAGGGCCATCGTCTATCACCGGCAATGACCACTGTTGACCGGTGGTCCACCACCACATTGCCTCTATCACATTGTCATCACTCACATTGTTACGGAGTACGGAGTATATGTTATTGCGCTGCTAAACTCCTATATAAGATGTAAAAATATTGGCATTCTTATTTTGTTATTTTGGTTGTATATAATCTTTTTCGGAGTAGATATTTTTTAAAAAAAGATTATGTATACAAAATAAGATATGACTTGACTATATTAATTTTGCAAAGGGCCTGCCTGGCGATAGCTTCAGTGTTTATTTTTAGCGTTTTACATATAGCGTTTGAAAATCGATCTACACTATTAAAATATTATTTAAAATGCTAACACTTATTAAAAATTTTGTTCTCAAATAAAACGTAATTTAATTAAATAAAGAGTATTTTTAAAAAATGAAGATAGTATTTAGCTATATATAAATATTAAAGTGGAACATAATTATAGAATAAGTAATTATTGACAAGATTTAGGACCTATATTCTCCCCCACTACGACGAATTCGAAAACGTGCCAAATGAATCCAAGAAGTGACAATTTTCACCAAGACTGGACGAACAAAATGTACTATTCAAATCGGGAAAATCTCTAGAAAAGAATTTTTCGAGAAAAAAGTTATACAGGAACAATTTTTTAAGAAAACAATTTTTTGAATATTTTTAAGAGTCCATGTGAGAGAAGAATAAAGCTTTTGGAAATTCCACTTTCCACAGTGCACACTAGTAGCAAATACAAATACACAAATATTCCCTGTCCCAATTTCAATTCTCTATTTCCGTTTACGATGTCTGACTGAATTTTTTTTTTCAAATTATTTTATATGAAAGATAGTGTAGAATTGAAAAATAAAAAATTACACATTTAAAAATTAATCAAAAGATCTTGGAAAATTAATGGACTGCTGATGAGAAATATTATCTCGCCGAGACATCTCAGTCCAAATTTTCCAATTAATATTGCCAAAATTATCACAAATTACTTCCACCATTAACTCCCTACCATAACCACCACTGCACCTCCACTAATAACTCCTTACCATAATTATTTCCCTCTCCATTACTACTCCATCTCTCACTATAAATGTAACACTTCACTTTCAATATGGGGAGTAGGGGTGGACACGGTCCCGGTACAGAGTTGGTGTAGGCGCCGGTATCGACGGTTCCGCCACCGGGACCGGTGACGGCGACGGCGACACGGTATGCGGAACCGTTGCTATCCCATCTCTGATGTAATACCGATCTGATAGTATATTGAGAAAAGATAAATTGAGCTATAATCTCTTTTTGTAAGGGATGAAGAGAACAAGGAAAGACGGGGAACTAGTTCTCATTAGAGAAAGAAAAGAAAAAGGGTTTGGGAACAAAAAATTAAAAAAAAAAAAAGAGAAAATTGAAGGGCAAAATGAAAGAGTGAATGATGGGAATTTTTTACCGTCATAGTTTTTTTAAATTCAAAAGTATTATTGAGATTTTTACATCTTTATTAAAATTTAAAAAATTTATATTGCTAATCTCAGAGGGTGCAGCTTCCTTTTTGTGTGACGGTACGTAGGCAATTAGAACGATGTAGTCAATCTCTGCAGATGCTAACACGGAGAGTTGGCGGGAAAATGCGGGGCTATTCTTCCATTTTTATTACTCCGTAAGAGTTAAGACTTCAAAATACTATGGGACTCGAGCACAAATTTGTAATTCCATTGAATCTTATTCAGTTTCTGCAACGTTTTATTTTAAACTACTCCGAAAATTACTTTGATCATGTTTTGAAAAAACTATATCCCAAAGTGAGTTATGAAGTAAATAAATTAGCTCTATTATGTAGAATAATTTATTTTTAATTATTATCAGATTATCAAATATTGAAAAAAATAATTAATTTCACTCTAAAAAACACTTAAATTTGGTATTATTTTTCTAAAAAAAATTAAAAATACATTTAAATTTGAAGTTAGAAATTAAAAAAATGAAATAAAAGAGAATTTACCTAAGATTATCTCACGTTTCATTTATTTGCGAGAAACATGCATTTTTCAAAAATGGCGTTAAGCGACCGTTATTTTTTTTAACGGCGACCCAAAACTCGCAACATGTGGAAATATAGGATTATTTCCGGTGACAGTGAAGAGTAGAATTATTTTTGAAAGAGTACGAAAAAGGTAGGATTTTTTGAGATAATTTTTCTTATTTTTAAATTGTAAGATGTAACTTTACCAAGTTGCTAGTGTTTGGGTCTGGTAACCCACTGGAAGCGGGTTAGGCGAGTGGAGGCCTTACATCCTTTTTGCCAGTTTCTATACTCATTTAATAAAATAATATAATTTTGTCATATCATGTTGTATACATGATTAGATTTTTATTTAATTTTCTAAATATACATTTTATATTTTCATTGATAATATAAAATATTTTTGTCTCTTCTTATTTTATTTTTTAATGTAATTTTTATATATATAATTTTTAATTTGTATTTCAATTAGGACTTAACATTAATTTTTTATATATAGAAGTAGGGGCATTTTTTTGTTAAAAATGGATTTTTTTAACACGGATTTTTTATAGTACAAATGGATGATTGGTGTCTACCATGGATTTTTATATATGAATATTTTGAGCAAAACATTATTTTGAAAATGCAAATAAGATTGGCATTTTAGGAACGACATTTTGTATACAAACTAAACATCATTTTAGTTTTTTAACGGTAGACTGAGACGGGATTTAAGGGTGGGGTGGGGAATGTACTTTGAACATTATTATTTTCAAAAATTTATTTGAGTTTTCGTAAGCGAAATAAAAAAATAAGAAATATTCATTAGTGTCCTTTGGAAAAAGACCCATCCACTCGAATCTTTCGATATTTGACACGACGATTCGTGCGAAAAATCTCAATTGCATAAACATTCAAATGTTAAAAGCAAAGATTCAAATGTTATGCGACAAGATATATTGTTTCACGTAATAGACACATCGTTTAGATTTTACCAAAAAAATATATGGAGCCTTTGATATATTTTAGGGAACCACAAATACTCATTCTTGAAGTTTTCGTCTTATTCGATTATATTATTTTGATATATCAAAATAATTTTAACCAAAATGTGTGTAATTATATGCACTTCGTAAATTTATCAAGTCTCCTTTATGTCCATATATGCAATTCTTTCTAACGCTTCATCCCAAATTTTATAGAAATTTCGAAGCAAGTTTTACAACAATACACTTTATTTGCCTAAAAAATCATTAAGTTCGAATTTTATTCGTTAAATTTAATAGAAATTTAATCAGTTGTTGAAAACCTAAATCTAGTTATAATGTCAAAAATTGGATTCAAATTGAAATATTGTTTTTGATATATATGGAGTAAAATATTGATTACTTTCGTTTTAGAGTACTCGTTCAGTTTGATTTTAAAAAGTTAAATAAGGCAAATTTTAATCAAATTATATCTTATCAAAACCTATGCCTCTAAGAGGGTGTTTGGGAGTGATTAGCTTATGGATAAAGTGATTTCTACAAAAGCTGAAAGCAAAAGCACCTCATACCTGCTTCTCCGAAACGGTGTTTCGTGTACAAAATAATGTTAGTGAAAAGCAGAAGCTGACATGTCAAACAAAGTAAAATCACTTCCACTCAAAACAGAAGCTAAATTGTTAAAAGCATCGCACTGCCAAACACTCTCTAAGCTCTTTATTCAGGATCTCATATCTCATAGCTTTTCGAACATTCAGTTCAACGTTGCTGGTCACACCTCACATCTTCAACTAGCGGAAATCCTTTTGTATTCCGTCATCAACATTACAATCCAGGGATAACAATATAACCTGAACCCGACCTTTACTGCTTCGGCCAAAATCCGAATTTTACCTTAACCGATCTTGCCCAATCAAAATCAAATTCCAAACAAATAAAAAAACATATTGTGTACTTGAACCCAACCCCCTATTAAATTAAATCTAAACACGAACTACAAATACGTTCTATTTAAATTATTTTTATTCCCTTCTAGTATTACTGATTCTTATTAAAATCATATTCTCTTCTCCTAAAATGTTCTTCCCTATTACTATTTTATTTATTTATTTGATAAAATAATATAGTCTTTTCATCTCTTGTTTTGTAGAATTTCTGATGCAATTTTAAAATATATGAATTTTATTTTTTTTAATTTTACACGTACAATCAAATAAATGGAATTGAAAATAAAATCAATCAAACCTCGTAAAAAAACGGAAAGAACGTTTTAAAACGAAAGAAATAAAAAAAAAAGACTATAAACAACTTTAAATCCAGACATGACCTTAATAAAATTGGATGATCACACATAAAGAACATGTTTTGGTGTTGAGTTTGGATAAACTAGCACCCGAACCGAAGTTGACCCATCAGGCTGGTTGCCAAAATAGGCCCCAACCTTTCTCTTCCGATTCAACACAAAAAAATCAGAATCGGTCTGAAACTCAGCCATTGACAGTCATCATGTTAAGCCCTTGTCTATCTTCGCCGGCGGGAGGAGTTCACAGTCAAAACCCACTGTGCTCTCACCATTTCCAATCCCTTTCTCGCTCCTCCATTTCAACACTTCTCAAATCAAACCCTAAGTCGTCTCCTCCCTCCGCCACCCATAAGCCATTGCAGAAGAGAAAGCTTTCCTTGGTCTGCTGCCACTCCGAGCTCCCTGAACAACAACAATGGACTTCTTTCTCTAATTCCCCTTCCTCTTCTGTACAACCAGGTATCTGGAATATTTTTTTTTTCAATTTTGTTTTTGCTGTCCCTTTTTTAGTTTTCAACTTAAACAATACTTCTTCCATCTCAAATTTAGTGTCGAAATTATCTTTTATAATGCAATACTCTGCCTTACAAAATTAGAGGGTCATGTGTGGGTGCGCACTTGGATCACCGGCCCTGGCTAGAATGAAGTATATTTGATGTTGGGCTGAATTCGAGGGTTTTGACAGGGTATTTTATTGATGGGTTTATCTATTTATTCTGTATATATACTAGGGCTGTGAAAAAAGTACATTAAAAAGAAGGAAAAGTACCAACGTGGTCATAGATTTTGAAATGATCATATGATCAGTCATGGGCACCCAATTGAGTTGAGGCAATGGTGTATTGATAAGAAAAAATGTGAGGTGAATGAATTATGATATATGAGCTAGCGGTTTAGGAGAAATTTGAAAGAATCGCTTAAGGATTTTTTAAATTTCATGTAATTTGCATTTCCAAAAGTGAACCGGATTGATCTTTTCTTATACCTTCTCGAATGAGATTGGGAATTAACAGTTTTAACTTGATTGGGATGAGAAGTTTTTTCTTTCTTGATGGCATTTTGACATGTACTTCCATCTTCTCCGATGGAGCCAAATATTCACTATTGTTTGACTTTGGAGGAAGATGGAATAAAGCAAAATGGTTCTTAAACTATTTGTAATTCTTTTGATAGTGGAGTAACAGCTAGTCAATGCAACGTTCAACGCTGATCATGGGTCATACGGAAACAGCCGCTCTATATTTTAACATAGCAGTTAGGTTGCGTACATCCGACCCCCCTTACCCCGCAATGGGCAGGAGCCTTTGAGGCAATGGGGTAATGTTGTTGTTGTTGATTGTATTTTGACATGTATTCTTTCAATGGTTAAAGAGAAATACAAAGGTTAAAGAGAAATACAAACAGTGAATTATCCTTTAACCTTAGCAGGAAGATTACCGCCTAAGGTTTTTGTTGGATACTCAATTTATAAAGGGAAGGCTGCTCTTAGTGTGTCACCTCAACCTCCAGAGTACTCACGGTTGGACGTATGCATTCGTGAATGATTCTACTTAGTAATTGATTTTTTTCCTCATGCTATGCTTTTTTTCAGTTTATGTTGTATCTTTGTGTACGCTCAGCCCCCAAACCCCACGTGTGGGGTTTTAATGGGCAGGATATTCTTATTGTTGTTGTAGTTGTTCTGTATAGTTGATGGTTATAATTGGGCAGTCAGGGGCATTCAAACTCTCAAAAGATGGTTTTGTGTCACTTCAGTTTGCTCCTGCATCTGGCGTTCGTCAATACGATTGGGGAAAAAAGCAGGTGGTCGCCGCACAATATATATTTGTTTCTTAATTCACGATTTACTTACACATTTATAGTACATACTGTGCAATTTTGTTGGACTAAAGAATTTACTATTTCTGACTTGGTTTGGAACTATGTTTCTTTTTTATTGGTGTCCAGCTGTTCTCTTTGTCAGTTACCGAGTTAGGGTCGTTGATTAGTCTTGGGCCAAAAGATTCGTGCGATTTTTTTCATGACCCTAACAAAGGAAGAAGGTATGATGACTGAAACTTCGGGAATTTACAAACATTTACGATTGTATTTTTTATTGTATAAAAAATGTTTCGCATGTGTGTTTGGTTATTTTTGCAGTGATGAAGGAAAAGTCAGGAAACTGTTGAAGATTGAACCCCTACCTGATGGATCTGGCCACTTCTTCAACCTCAGTAATTCTTACTTCCTCAATAGATGCTCCCTCTGTCCCTAAAAGAACTTCTTGCTTTCCTTTTTTTAACTATCTAAAAAAGTTTATATTCCATTTAGGGATGGAAGAAATATATATATTTTTTGGAATTACTTTGACATTGCTAAGAATCTGAAATGGCTTTGTTTTCCTCTTCCTGAATTGAAGGCGTGCAAAACAAGCTTAGTAATACTGATGAGAGCATCTACATACCCGTCACGAGGGCTGAATTCACAGTTCTTGTCTCGGCTTTCAATGTAAGATCCATCTTTCATAGCTCTCTTAGAATCCCTAATCACGGATTGGCTACTTTTAAATGTTTCTCGTGTGTTCTTCTGCAGTTCATTTTGCCATACCTCTTAGGTTGGCACACCTGCTTAGGCTCGTTCGCTCCAGAAGAGGCAAGCCGTGTAAATAGTGCTAATCCCAATTCAGATGCTGCTTTTGAATGGCAAAGATAGTTCATAAACGGTACATTCTCATTTGGTGTTGGACAGACTCTTTATCATTAATGTCTCTCTTTTGGTCATTCTGTATTTTCTGGATGTGGCGCTTTCCTTGGTCTATCATTTTGAACTTAATAGCCATGGCATCGTGTCTCTAGAATTTAAGAGTGGGTATACTTTATACTACACTGGTTTCCTTCTTAATTTTGTTCTTATGGTTTCAACCTCTTCATGAGAGCTGTGCCTCATTTAGTTTACTTCTCATTGTCATTTGAATCACTTTACTTGGACTATCTCAAGAGGAAAACCAAACAGCTCTTTTCCATGTTTTGAGAACAATAAAGAAAATGCGATTTATGATATTGAAACCATGTTCGAAATGGCGTATTGCGGTTTTGAGGTGTTTTTTTAAATTGAAAAATGTCCATAAAACTTTTTAAAACTGAAGATAGAACATAATGTATAACATAAATAATCCAGAAACATTAAAAAAGTATATTGTCAAAGTAATGCATCTCAAACACAACAAAGCATAAAAAATATTTCCATGTTGGGTCAGACATTTCAAACATTGATTGAAACACAACGCGTTCTGATTAAAGCATTAAAACAGTTTGATGCTCATCGCCTTCAAAATCATTGACATAAGTGGAGTGTAAATACATACAGTATTTATTTACAAAAAAAATATGAAAGAACACCAGTCATTGAATCTCAGAAAATCTCAAAAGAATTGATTGATAATAGCCTGAAACATATGATGTGTTGCAACACAAATTATTCAGCTAGCTACTGAATTGTGATAAACAAAACCATACCCAAAATGTTTGTGAAAGAATCATGCTAGGGGCACCCCACCAATAGCCCAATGTTTGAAAGGTGGAGTGCCCCTAACACGATTCTGTCTGAAAATGGCTAATATAGTTTAGCTCCAAGGTTTCCACTTAGCTTCTTAACGAGGTTCCCACTTAGGCTTCCACTGAGGTTTCCACTGCTACCCCATCCTTCTTGAACCTGAAATGAGTACTGAAGGTGCCAAAGAACATCCTCAATGGACGGGCGCTTGCTCCGTTCTTCACTGAGACAGTTCAATGCGATCTGGACGGTCGTTTTGAGCGATTCGTACGCGAATGTCCCTCTTATGCAAGGGTCTGTTAGATCGCGTAGTTTTCCCGGGGATTCTGCTAAGCAAGTCTCTACCTGTTTATGTTAGGGTCCCACATCAGAACATTAAATAGAAACGTCCGAACGGGAACGGTCTCTCTGTTTTTAGAGGAGTAAAGTTGTTCACCTGTAGTTTGAGGTCTTGCACTTCAGCTTGCGATGTGATTGGTCTACCAATAATTACTTCAATCAGAATCACTCCTAGTTGATATATGTCATCTTCTTCTCCAACTCTTGCACTGTATTTGCAGGTTTTTTAATGAGTAAAATTTAGGCTTATCTTATTAAATTTAGGAAGAAATAACCCTTGTGTTGCTGAAAATACCTGATGTTCTGATCTTGTGCATTAGGAGGGCTTTCAGAAACAATCTGTGAATGTAGTAAAGAAAAAGAATGAAGTTTTATAGGAGTATATTTTAGGTTTGAGTACTTTGTATATTTTTCTGATTTTTAAAATTGGATCAAGTGAGAATGCGATTTAATGAAAGAAATAAGAATACATCTCGTGCATTAGATGTAAGATCTAAGGGCTTGAAAAATTCCAAAAATAGAAAAGATCTGAAAAAACATGGTGGCATTATGGTAAATAAGTTGAACTTTACTCCCAATGCTGAAAATGCACTACCACAATGTAAAAATGCATCATTCTCAGGATAAGATCTATTCTTGCAGTAAGGATCATTCTCACTTGAACCAACCCATATATACCGAGTATATATATAATACCTTGGATGGGAGGGAAATGTTGTAGTTGAAAAGTCTAGGAGTGAGAGTGTCATCCAACAACACATTTTCAAGTTTGATGTGGTTGCCAGTAACCCCTCCTGCATGCAAATACTGTATTCCTTTTGCAATCCCCATTGCCATTCCCATTCTCTGTGGCCATTTCAAAACATCCCTCTTCCTCCAATCTGTTTATGCATTTCCACCCAATTATAAAAGTAAGCAAAAATTACTCCCAAAAAAAGGAAGGAAAAAAAACAACCCAATTTAAGGTTTAGTATGACCCTGTAATTGTTATAAATATAACGGTTATAATTTTCGTTGCGTTAAAGTAAACACAACGATTCTTTTGACCTTAGAATAATCTGAGGCCTCTATAGGTAAAATTGATAGTTCCTGCCCTTTTTAAATTGCCGATTTGACAGTGTCAAATCGGTGGGGGACTGGGGTGCAGGAAGAGTTTAGTGGGGACAAGGTCAAAAGATCTTTGCCGTAAAGTAAATCTTCTTTTTGGAGAGTATTTCACGCAAAATCGTCAGAGACATGGCATTTTTTAGGCAAATTTTTGCGAGAAAGTTTTACCGGCGAGGTGGTCCTGCAGCGAAGCACCGGGGACGGGTTCGAGGACGAGGAAGAGGGTGGTGGGGGAGTGGGGGTCTTGGGAAGGGGCAACAATGGAGTGTCCAATCACACTCATCAAATGCCTATGCCTCAGCCTTGAGATTGCATCAATGTGTTGTTCAAGTGAATAATAATGCTTCTGCTGCTTTATTAATACTGTCTGGCAGTTGACTAGGACCACTGATCCATCTTTAAGCTTTCCTCTATACACCTGCAGTTTTTTTTTTTTTTTGAGAAAAAAGAAAAAGAAAAACCATAATGAATTCCCCAACTACTACTTGACATGGAAAAGACTCAATCCTAATGGTAGTAGAATTTATTGCAGTGATGTGTGCCCATGACAGTA